AGGATTAATTCGGTCCCAGGACCGAAATGTTTTCTGAAATTTTAGGATATGCTGATGAGCTGTGGTTCCAGGATCCTGACTTCCTGTCTTCCTCAACAAATCTGACTCTCATCTCATCAAAAAAATATATTTTTTAAAGGGTGGACGGGGAAGCCAGCGGAAGGCCTCGGTCAGATGACCAAAACCTCCAGTTACGGGTCATCATATAACTAAGACCCGCGTCCGGAAACACTTGTCCTGTTTCCTGACCAATCTTACTTAACCTAACCGTCATCTCACGACGCTCTCTGTACACACATCGTCTCACCCCAGGTAGATCTGTCTGGTTGTGACTTGATGAAGTCTTCTGTGTGGGTGAAACATTGCTATTAAGGATCGAGTTATACTGCGTTTGTCTCTCCATCGTGACGGTATTTTATAGCGTTTATCTCCAGAACACTTTCACCACCATAACACCATCACCACCACCACAACACTTCACCACCACCACAATACCTTCACCACCACCACAATACCTTCACCACCACCACCACACTCACAACTATCACTTTCACCACCACAACTCCTTCACCACCACCACAACTCCTTCACCACCACCACAACACTTCACCACCACCACAACTCCTTCACCACCACCACAACACTTCACCCTCACCACAACACCTTCACCACCACCACAATACCTTCACCACCACCACAATACCTTCATTACCACAACACCTTCACCACCACCACCACCACCACAATGCCTTCACCATCACAAAACTTTCACGATCACCACAACACCTTCCCTACCACCACAATACCTTCACCACCACACTTTCACCCCTACCAACAAACCTTCACCCCACCACCAAAATTTCACCACCACAACAACTCCTTTACCACTACTAATAGAACACCTTCATGACCACATCTTCACCACAGCATCTTCACCATTATATCACCTTCGACATTACCACAACACCTTCACTACCGACAACACAACACCTTCCTCAGCATTACAACACCTCGGCCACAACACCACCAGCACAACACAACCACCACCACCACAACACAACCACCACCATCACAACACCACAACCACCATCACAACACAACCACAGCACCATCATCACAACACAACCACAGCACCATCATCACACCACAACAATCACCATCACCACAACGCAACATAACCACCACCACCATCACCACCACCACCATCACCACACATCACCACCACCACCACCACCATCACCATCACCACCATCATCACCACCATCACCACCACCACCATCACCACCACCACCATCACCACCACCACCATCACCACCACCACCACCACCACCATCACCACCACCACCATCACCACCACCATCATCACCATCACCACCATCACCACCATCATCACCACCACCATCACCATCACCACCATCCACCACCATCACCATCACCACCATCACCACCACCACCACACCACCACCACCACACACACCACCACCATCATCACCACCATCACCACCACCACCATCACACACCATCACCACACACCACACCACCATCACACACCACCATCACCACACCACCATCACCATCACACCCAACCACCATCACCACCACCACACCACACACCACCACACCACACCATCACACATCACACCATCACCCATCACCACCATCACCACCACCATCACCACACCACCACACCATCACCACCACCATCACACCATCACCACCACCACCACCATCACCACCACCACATCACCATCACCACCACCACCACCACCACCACCATAAACCACCACCACCACCATCCCACCCACCACCACCACCACCTCACCACCACCACCACCATCACCACCACCATCACCACCACCTCACCACCACCATCACCACCACCACCATCACCACCACCATCATCACCACCATCACCACCATCACCACCACCACCATCACCAACCACCATCATCACCATCATCACACACCACCATCACCACCACCACCATCACCACCACCATCACCACCACCACCCCCACCACCACCACCACCACCACCACACCACCACCACCACCACCACCACCACCACCACCATCACACACACCATCATCACCACCATCACCACCACCACCATCACCACCACCATCATCACCATCACCACCACCATCACCATCACCACCACCACCACCACCACCATCACCACCACCATCACCACCACCACCACCATCACCACCACCCATCACCACCACCATCACCACCACCACCACCACCACCACCACCGCCACCGCTTCACCTTCACAGGTTATATTTTCACTGCCAAAACCCCACATCTTTAATAGTACTATTAAAAGGACACAAGTGCAACTAATGTGACATTTTATTGTGGCAACGTTTCGCTCTCCAGGAGCTTTGTCATGCTTGACAAAGCTCCTGGAGAGCGAAACGTTGCCACAATAAAATGCCACATTAGTTGCACTTGTGTCCTTTTACTTTACATATTGTCGGTAATTCTACCAACATTATTACAATAGTACTATTCCTACTACTACCACCACCACTAGTACCACCAATACCAATACGACCATCACCACTAATCACCACTACTACCACTAACCACCAATACCACCACCACCACCACCACCAAGCACTACCACCACCAGGTCTTCACCTGGACTACAGACAACAATATAATGTTCACTGAAGACATCAGTAACTCCGCAGTGGAAAAACTTGAAGAATGAAAAACTGGAAAGAATATAAAATAAACTGAAACTGCTCAACAAAGCGAAAGAATGTGAGGGAGTCTGTAATGATAATATATTTACGTTCAAAAATGCAAGGAAAATGAGAGGCTGGCTAACAAGAGATGTCAAGCCAGTGATGATGCTCTTAAAATTCCTTGTTCTCTCTAGACTGAAATATTGCTGCAGGAGATATCGAAGATCTGTAGAATGTCTTTAGAACCTTCACTGCCCGTGTAAATTAAGTACCTAAATTACTGGGAATGACGGAAGTGCCTTGAACTATACTCTCTGGAATGCGCTGTATCACCCTTACAGGTTTAACGCTTGGCTATGATTGTATTACTGTATTCTCTGGAACGTAGGCAATAAGCATACGTCATAATTTACACCTGGAAATTTTTGAACTAATTGGTCTCAAATCTGCATACCGAAATTGTTCCCTACAAAAGCAAGAGCTACAGTAGACAGTGCAAAATATATTCAATGAAAAACTGCGGAGCAACGAGTATATTGTACGCTAAAAGATAACGGAATAAGTGTAAAGTGACCAAGACTTTTTCAACAACCTCCAGTTCATACATAAAGAGAATTACCAAGATAACCCTGAGCTGTCTTCAACTAGATAAGTTCCTCAAGTTAGTTCCTGATCAGCCGGGCTGTTGTACCTATATTGGGATGCAAGCGGTAGCACCAACAGCCTGGTTAATCAAGCTATCATTCAGAAAGCCTCATATGAAACCAGGCCAAGGGAGCAGTGACCCCTGAAATTGTTTTTAGATAACCTTCAGTAACTCACACATTCACCATTACCCCCCCATCACACCATCACCACAATCACCATAACCACCATACACTATAACCGCTACCATACGCTATAACCACTACCATACGCTCTAGCCATACATGCTATAACCACCACCATATGCTATCACCATAAAAACCACTACCACAACCAGCAGAACAACCACAATCACCCAAAAAAATCCACTTGAACCACCTCCCTCCCCCCCGTCTTTTCTCAAGTTACCATCACCATCACACACTATCACCACCACCACCACCGCTACCACCACTACCACACCAACCACTAGTAACCACCACCACCACACCAACCACCCTTAACCACTACCACCAATCACTAAAAACAATCAATTATCACTACCAGTTACCACCACCAGTCACCACCAACACCACACACCATCAGAAGATAACACCACACGCAGCAACACAACAATACACCATCAATCACCTGCACTTAATACCACTACCACACCATCAATACCAAGCAGCAGAATTAACCTTAAAATCAAACCAGGTTGTGAAAAGATGCAAGAGTTCATTCCTCGTATCTGAAGTGGTTAAAAAACGAATTTGTTTTAATCATCCTTTACATTTTCTTTATTTCCAAACATAGGGTTTATTTTGATAGATTCTATGTGAACTGTATGAAGTATTATGAAAAAGTATTAATATTCAGGACAATGTATGATTATAGGTGTGCATGTGCTGAGCATTTGTTTGTAAATCGTCAGTGCAATGTTTCAAAACATTTGAATGTCATTTCCAGCCTGATTAATGAGGACGTCAACAATGGTGTGTGACCACAGACCAGAAAGTAGTGTCACTCTGGAATGCGGTCACGTGCATATCACGGGTATGTACAGTATTTCAGTCTTCCTTCATGAAAAAGAATATTGCTTCAGTTTATTACTGATATATTGTATAAGGAAGGCTTAGTGACGCACTGATGTATAGTTGACCCAATTATTATTATTATAATCAAAAAGAAGCGCTAAGCCACAAGGACTATACAGCATAGTTGACCCAAGAGGACTGCGAGCAGCCTAGTTATGAAAACTGAAATACTGGCAAGCTAACAGCAGGAATAACAATACCACTAGCAGCAGCACTAGGAATACCACTAACAGCAGCACTAGGAATACCACTAGAGGCAGTAGCACTACCCCCACCGTCATCAACTGCCATCACCACCACCCCACAAGCCGTAGCACCACAGATATCACTACAACTACCATTACTGTCAACAACACACCAGCACTACTCCCTGAACAACTATAACTAACAGTAATAGCACCACCACACCTATCATCACCAACAACTGCAACAGCAGCGAAGCGATGGTGGTGGGTGGGTCCAACACACTAGTATTGGAAACAACCACCACATTAATCACACATTCACTGCTAAAAGACAGTACCATCGTGGTTGTTGTGTTGATAAGGACCCCACAGAGTATATTAACATTAGTGTGCTCACCATGACTGTCTCCTGGGTGAGGCTGCCTCGCCACCTCAACATCACACCTCTTGATGGATAATTCAACACTTCTCAACACTCAGTCACTAAAAAACATCCTGGTTCACTATCGTTGAGAACCATCTTAAAATAGAGTCCATTTTTATTTTCCTAAGTTATATGTATAAATATTACACAATTATATTGCAAGATTTTTTCCCTTGCATAAATAAAGCTCAAGACAACGTGAGAAAATCGTGTTCAACTCGAAGTCATTACAAGAAATGAAAACAAGATGCACTTAAATTTTTGCCTCCTGCTTCGACCTTATTTTTGTAAGCACTGTTGCGTGGAGTCACGCTGGGCTGGCTCTCTGGTGTGGCAAGCACCTCACGCACGGCTTTTAACTTACACGAAGAGCACTAGTATAAGGGTAGTCACTGATTTACATTTGCCAAGTCAAATCTGTGGCGAGTTGGCGGCACCTCTCTCGCCTGGATGCTGCTTCAGGAGGATGCTTGCCTATCCCAGCCCACACTCTCCTACTGCACTACCTTCACACATCTCTCCAGAATTATTATAATCCCGATTTTCAAATTATCCAGTATACACTGGTCTTTAATTATATATCTAGTAAGTAATGTGAATAGTCAATACACGAAAGCCATTAGTTGTGTAGTAGAGTGGGTGTGTCGTACGGCTGGCGCGTGTATTGATTGTGGCGGCGAGCCCACAATCAATAGCAAGGAGCTGGTTGAGGGGAAATATGGCCATGAAGGTTCACTTTGCAGAGCTGCTGACACATACACACACACATACACACACACACACACACGCACACACAAACCAGGTGTAGATAAGTGTTTGAAACCCACGAGCACCAGGTGTGTGAGGCTGGAAAGCGAGGGAGAGGGTGGCTGGATTGCCTTGTTGACCTGCGCATCTCTCATCTCTTTTATGCTTAAAGATGATGGCAGCCACAACACCAGCCACTTGCCTGATGACGGCCGCCCTTGCCACAGCCTCCCCCGGTCCTGTCGTACGCCCACGCCCACACCCTCTCACACTCACACCCATCACACTCACACCCATCACTCTTCATCTCATCCTCACGTTGCCTGGATTTGCACGGCACCGCGCTGCCAGACGTGCTGCGACCTTCAATGAGCTCATTTGTAGTTAAATATAAACTAATGCAAGTTTATATATAACATACCATATAAATATACATTTTATTTGGCCAAAGTGACAAGGAGGGAGCCCACTGGTGTAACATAGATGATTGTGAGTACACAAGAGAGGTAAGTTTGGTTAAGTGACCTGACCACTTTGCGTAATTTTAAGAGAGTGGTTTTTGTCACATAGTTGCGTCAAGTATCTCACTTAACCTAACTTATTTTAGCTTCAAATAAGCAAGAATGTGTTTTTCTTTTATAGTTTCTTGGGGCGTTCAGAATTTGACGTTCTTAGTAGCATGTGAAAACGGAAAATGAAAGGAGTGGTTGTATTTCTCTCTCTCTCACACACACACACACACACACACACACACACACACACACACACACACACACACACACACACACACACACACACACACACACACACACACACAGAGTGGTGGAGCACCTGGAAAGAAACAAGTGTATAATTGACAACCAGCATGGTTTCAGGGAAGGAAAATCCTGTGTCACAAACCTACTAGAGTTTTATGACAAGGTGACAGAAGTAAGACAAGAGAGTGAGGGGTGGATCGACTGCATTTTTTTGGACTGCAAAAAGGCCTTCGACACAGTTCCTCACAAGAGGTTACTGAAAAAGCTAGAAGATCAGGCACACATAACAGGAAAGGCACTGCAATGGATCAGAGAATACCTGACAGGGAGGCAACAACGAGTCATGGTACGTGACGAGGTGTCAGAGTGGGCGCTTGTGACAACCGGGGTTCCACAGGGGTCAGTCCTAGGACCTGTGCTGTTCTTGGTATATGTGAACGACATAACGGAAGGGATAGACTCAGAAGTGTCCTTGTTTGCAGATGATGTGAAGTTAATGAGAAGAATCAAATCGGATGAGGATCAGGCAGGACTACAAAGAGACCTGGACAGGCTGCAAGCCTGGTCCAGCAACTGGCTCCTTGAGTTTAACCCTGCCAAATGCAAAGTCATGAAGATTGGGGAAGGGCAAAGAAGACCGCAGACACAATATAGTTTAGATGGCCAAAGACTGCAAACCTCACTCAAGGAAAAAGATCTGGGGGTGAGTATAACACCGAGCATATCTCCTGAGGCGCACATAAATCAGATAACTGCTGCAGCATACGGGCGCCTGGCAAACCTACGGATAGCGTTCCGATACCTCAGTAAGGAGTCGTTCAAGACCCTGTATACCATTTACGTCAGGCCCATACTGGAGTATGCAGCACCAGTTTGGAATCCACACCTAGTCAAGCACGTCAAGAAATTAGAGAAAGTGCAAAGGTTTGCAACAAGACTAGTCCCAGAGCTACGGGGATTGTCCTACGAAGAAAGGTTGAGGGAAATCGGCCTGACGACACTGGAGGACAGGAGGGTCAGGGGAGACATGATAACGACATATAAAATACTGCGCGGAATAGACAAGGTGGACAAAGACAGGATGTTCCAGAGATGGGACACAGACACAAGAGGTCACAATTGGAAGTTGAAGACTCAGATGAATCGAAGGGATGTTAGGAAGTATTTCTTCAGTCATAGAGTAGTCAAGTCGTGGAATAGTCTAGAAAGTGAAGTAGTGGAGGCGGGAACCATACATAGTTTTAAGGCGAGGTATGATATAGCTCATGTAGCAGGGAGAGAGAGGACCTAGTAGCAATCAGTGAAGAGGCGGGGCCAGGAGCTATGACTCGACCCCTGCAACCACAAATAGGTGAGTACAAATAGGTGAGTACACACACACACACACACACACGTACGTACGTACGTACGTTCGTCCCTCACACAATCATTACACTCACGTCACACACCATGACATCTACACACACGTCGAACATCATCACATTCGCACACATCACACACCATCACACTCACACCCGTCACACAAACATATAATTCACACGACCATCACATTAATACTTGTCACATTCACTCCCACCACATATTCGTCACACTTTCACTCGTCACACTCACACCTGAGATCCATCAAATTTACACCCGTCACACACACACACTCAGATAAGTACAAATATGTAAGTACAAATAGTTAAGTACACACACCAGTCATCTCTTACGAGTCACACACTGGTTCCCTCTCAGATCCATCCCTCTCAGATCAGTCCCTTTCATCTGTCCCTTTCATATTCGCTCCTATCATATTTATCCCATTCATATCAGTTCATATTATATTCACCTTTTCAAGCCATCTCTCTTATATCTGTTTTTCTCCCATCCGGCTCTTTCATATCCGTCCCTCTAACACCCGTCCCTCTCGTCTCTGTTTCTTTTATATCCATCTCTTTCATATCCGTTCTTCTCGCATCTCTCAGTCTCATATCCGTTCTTTTATGTTCATATTGTTCATTTCTCTCTCTCATATTCTTCCCTGTCATATCCATCCCTCTCACACATGTCCGTCTCTCTCACTTGTCCCTCTCACACCTGTCCCCCTCTCTCATTTGTCTCTCACACCTTGTAGAGCACATGTCTATGAAAAAATTATTACGAACCTACTGAAAGTCTACAACAGGCTAAGGTCATTCAGGAAAGTAGAAGTAATAGTAGATTCTTCTACTAAAGGATTGCACTTAACATTGCATCACTACATCATAAGAGATTAACCTACATACTGGGAAGCATACAAGGATAAAAGGAAGGAAACTTCACTGAAAAGAGGAAGGATGTATCTAGATGGATGAATTTCATGAATTATTTCCCTCAGGGACCTGTTTGGGGACTTGTAATTTTTTTTTGATAAACATCAGTGATACGTCTTATTCAGTAATCCATCTTATTCTTATTTACCAGTGATGTAAGTCTAATGAGAGTGATTACATGAGAAAAGTGAAGGATATACAGTCATTTAGAATGACTTCAGGAGTGTTCGGACAGGTTGTAATCCTTGAGTCGAACCAAACGTCACGTTATGAGTATCTTAGAAGAATGTGGGATGTGAACTACAGAAGAGAAGAAAGTCACAGTGGCAAACTTAATACCAGAGGTGCACATCAGCCCAGCAACCACAGCGGCGTACACGGGACCGGTCAAATTAAAAATGTCATTCAGGTACCTTAACTAAGCCTTTTTAGAATATGTATATGACATGTATGAAGCTTAACATAGAATACCTAATACCAGTATTACACTTTGTCCAGCAATGTTCTCAGAGATGGAGCAAATGACCAAAGAAATCACACCCAACAACTCTGAAGGAGAAGAAACTAGGTAGGACAAGATCAAGATCTAAGAGATACTCAGACAAGATTGTAAGGCAAACAGTGTTTAAAAAAGAGAGATCGCGGACAAGAGGACATAGAATGAATCTATAGGTGTGAACGAGATAAGGACATCAGAGAATATTTTTCCATACTGATGGTAGTTAGAAAGTGCAGCGATCTGATTAAGGAAAATATTAAAGCAGATTCTCAGCAGTTTTTAGATGAAGTTTGCTAGGAATCATGAGATCAGGAATAATATATGTCCATTAACAATTAACTGACAAGTAGAACCAAGAGAATAAACTATAATAATTATAGAAAATATTAAAACTCAGAAGATTGCATTAATTCAGGGTTAAAAAATGGAAAGTTTCCTAAGAAAGATGAATCTCGAAATTTGAAAAAAGGGATTAAACGGCGTATTTTCAAAGTGATTAAGAGATTCTCTTTACGAAAGAAAAATTTGGTCAGCGAGAACAGGTCAAGAATGTTAGACTGGGAAAATGTCTTCAGCGGGGTTCCACAAGAATCACTACTTGCACCAATAATTCAAGGTCTTTATAGTTATTTATTTGCACTGGTAAGGTCGCAAGTTCGGTCTCAAGTCCTTAAATTTTTTTAACTTCACGACAAAATGAGATTCTTATTTCACATTCACATTGCATATAAACAATTTACCATGAGTTTATTTGCAGATATAAACAATTTGTAAAATAAATGAGTGAAATAACTGTAAATCCCTATAAGATAATTTTCTCGTTGAGTGTATAGAGAAATGGATGATTTTTTGATGTAAATTCTAAGTTGTACGTAACATTATTATTATTATTATTTTTATTATTAAGGGGGAAGCGCTCAACCCGGAGGATTATATAGCACCTGGGGGGGGGATGTGGAAGGCATTCAGGTTTAATTCGGGGAACTGGAGCACAGATCCAATTCCCTAAATCAAGAGCCCCTCACCAACATCAAGGAACCTTCCTTGAGGGTTTGCACGTAACAGAAGTAGAGCACAGCATCGTATTACTACGATGTCGAGGGTCAATAAAAACAATAATGTCTTAAGAAAATGAACGG